AAAGTATCCAGTCTCAGGCATTTCTTTATAGCAATGCAAGAATGGCCTAACACAGATAGTATTTGAAGGTGGAGTCTCTGGGAGGTAATTTGGTCATGAGGATGGAGCCCTTATGAATGGGATTAGTGTCCTTATAAGACGAGGACAGAGAGCTACTTGCTCTCTTTCCACCATGTGAGGATACAATGAGGAGTTGGAAGTCGGCAACCCAGAAGAGGATCTTTGTTAGAACCCCAGTATGATTGAACCCTGATCTCAGACTTCCAGCCTCAAGAATGATTTGTTGTTTAAGTACTAGTCTGTGGTATTTTGTTACAGCAGCCCAAACTGACCAAGACACTCCCTATATTACAAATGCACCTTCTAAACTGTGATAGAAATATTGATTTAAGAATATTTCAATTCAGTACAATTCAATTCAACAATTCAGGGAACAATTATCAAGCATTTATAATTTGCCTCTAGTAGACAAATAGAGTGCCTAATATAAAGGCACTCTTAGACCCTGGGGCTATATCAGTGAACACGAAAGACGATCTCCATCTGTCTTCCTGAAGATCACAGTCAGCCAAGACAGACATTCAATAAGTGATAACAACTGTGATGAGCATTGCAAAAGAGGTTCTAAAGCAAGGGGAATTTAATCCTGGAGAATCATGGAAGCCCTCTGTGATGAGGAGATATGAAGTGAAGACTTGAAACATGAGTAGAAATTAGAGGGATTTCTAATAGAAATTTTCTGGGATAACAGAGGTCCAGGCAATGGAAATGGTACATAGGGAAGACATGGGGCTGAGAGGTGTCTGAGAGCCAAGGGAGAGACAGTGTTTAAGAAGAGGATTCCAAGTTCCTCTATCAATGCAGCAGGTCCTGCATGGCCACTATTAGGTAATGGGGAACTCACTGTTCAAAAAGGAGTAACACCTCCACTCTCTTCTTTCTGGGTCATGCTATTTTAGCTTTTACACTGTTTCCTTTTATTTCCTTGCACCATGGTGTTGACAACTATCTTGGTTATGTGAACATATTACCTTAATAATAAAGCTTTAAATGTTTCACTTATGGAAAAAGTGCTCAAAGCAGATAATCTCTCTTCTTCCTCCTTAGTTATATTTTTATGTCACAATAATCAATTAGATAAAGACCAATCAACGTCCAGTGGGTTTAATAGCAATAAGCTCACTGGTAACATCACAAAGAGCCCTTAGTGGCTTAGTAAGAGAAAACCAGATTGCAGCAGGATGGGGAGTGAATAGGAGGCAAGCTAGAGACTATAGGGAACGCAATCACTCTTAAGAATCTTAATTGTCGGGGCAAGAAGAGAGATAGTGTAAGCATCTAGCAGAAAAGAGGAATAAAACATATCTTTTTTTATTATTATACTTTAAGTTCTGGGGTACATGGGCAGAAGGTGCAGGTTTGTTACATAGGTATATACGTGCCATGGTGGTTTGCGGCACCCATCAACCCCGTCACCTACATTTGGTATTTCTCCTAATGCTCTCCCTCCTGTAGCCCCCCACCCCCTGACAGGCCCCTGTGTGTGATGTTCCCCTCCCTGTGTCCATGTGTTTTCATTGTTCAATTCCCACTTGAGACCATGGCAAGCTGAAATATTTCTGGAAGGGCAATAGTATTTTGCAAAAAGTTAAAAATAGAGCAAAAGAGTTTTTCCTAAATGATGCCTCATCTGTGAATTTTGATTATTTCCAATTTGGCTTGAAAGGCAAATTTAATACACAAGTAATGACCAAGACAAGAGCCTAGTTGTATGATTTTTTAAAAAGTAAGGAAAATTAATATTATGTATTATGTTTATGGAGACACTTGGGTAGAATGGACAATACAAAGGTTACCATCTAAAAATCAACTTGGGCTGGAAGTTTAGAAATAGAAAAGATTTTGCAGCTTGCCTGCCTTACCCAAGTAAGGGAGTTACTTAGCCTTTCCAAGCCCATGCTTTCTGTCTGTAAAAAGGGGATTATGATGCTGAGTTTGAATGTTTTTATGTTTGTGAAGAAGGGATAGCCCTAGTAAAGTTCCTGGTAAGGTTGATGTACAGTAAATGATAGTTCATATAAAAGACTTAATAGAACACAGGCCTTGAAGAACAGAGAGGCTTTTATGCTGTCATGCTTTGCACAGAATAGTTGTTCTGAGAAGCAGGAATAAAAGAAGTGAATGCACACTGTGAACAAAACATATGAAGCTACAGAACATATGTGAGGGAAGATGATGGCAAGTTGGGTCCACATGTCATGTAGGAAAGTTTAACTGTGTTCATATTAGGAAAATCTGGGAATCAGATATGTGGAAGCTAACCCGTATCCTGTAATTCATGATATAAATGTTAATTATATTTTCTGTCATAAGAGGTACAAATCTCAGTCCAAACTAAATCAGGTATGTAAGAAACATTATTTTTCTATGTATCAATGGAATTTTTCTTTGAATCCTCCATTTCTCCAGGATATCAGACACCAAAACTCTTTCTCTTTTCCCTGGGCTGTGTTTAAGTTCAAGGGAGACTTATGTAATTGCAAGGCATTGCATGACTCATCTTGTCCTTGAGCCATCTGTCCACACAGATATCTGCTGACCAATCCATGGTGCCACTTGGTCCTTGCTCACCAATCCATGCAGTAAACTGTCGAGACAATTCTCATTCTTGTCTACCTTGGACTTCAGGTCTAATGGGTCACTCTGCTATTTTCATGCTAGGCTTGAAAACTGGGGTATCATTCCATCTCTTCCATGCTATTCTCTGGCAAAGGATTTATTCTGGGACTTATCTATGACTCTATTTGCCTTGATATGGAATGTGGGGCTTTATCACTTCTCTGGGTTTATTATCTTAGAAGAGGGGCAGATATCCAAATTTATTCTCTGGCTTTAATACTAAATTGGCATCTTGCCCCTTTACTGAAATTCTAATTTGGAGAGTAGAGTCAATGTTCTGTCTCTAAACCACCTTAATTTGTTTTTTCTTCTGCTATTCCCTATGTTTTTAGTCCTCTGGGAAAATCCCTTCCTGTTCACATCTTGATAGTTTCCTCCCAAATTCATTTTTGCCCCTTAAAATGATCCCCTTTTAGCTTTAAGATTTTGGAAACATGTAAATCAGAGGCTTAGGGGAAGTTTCTCTTTTGCACCCTACCTGTCACATCTGCATCCTCAGGGAAGAACTCAGAATGGACTATTTGCCTGAATTGGCTGAAGAGATAGGAAAGGGAAAGTGGGAACTTTAGGGAAAAATAATTTATAATTCAACATTTGGTGACAATGACAATATATTGCATTACCGTACAACTTGCTATACAATGGTAAATTTTTAAAGACCCTGTATCGGTCATTTCACCTTGGCCATTTTCCTCCTGCAGTGCACCTCAGGACATTTTTATTCATTTGAATTCTTCATTTTCATGTCTTGGAAAAAAAATTTCTGTACAAATTCCTTTAGCTCAACTAATGAAAATTTAGATTAGTTGGCAGAAATGTTAGTGTCTGGCAATCACAATTCTGAGATGGTAGTGGCAACATTTTAATATGGTGGTATGGGTCTTGCAGTTCATCTTACAAAGGAGATTACTTCAACCCAGACTTTTTTCCCCTGAAATATTCCTGGAAAATCAATATTGATTCTTGTCCAAGGTTTCTTGGTCTCTTCCCAATGACATAAAATCACTTTGGAAGGTTTGTGCAAAGTTGTATAGCATATACTATGTTAATATTTTATTCATTGTAAATATTTTATCCAAAAGTTACCAATTCTACTGTCTTGTGTTGTCATATTGAACTTTTTTTTGCATTTTCTTTTGCATGCCAATTTTTTACTAGTGCTATTTCTTAATATGTCATGTTTACCTGTAACATGTATGTTAACTATTTTCATATACTGTCAACAGAAACATGCACATTTTGTACATTGTGCTTTTTTTTTTTTGACATATGCAGTGTGACCCAGTTGTTTTCCATCATTTTGTTGTGCTGAATTAGGAATGTTGGTCATATCAAACATTAAAAATGACCATTTTTAAATTAAAATTAACTTAAGTGTTTATAAGAGTATAAGCATTTAAAATAACTTCATGCTATGAAGTGATCTGAAATTTGTAATATTTTTTGTCATGACCTGTACTGCTCCTAATTATTGTAATAAAAATAGTTATGGTAAAAGAATTTTATTCAGTATAAAAATCAATTAACAGTTTGGTAGATTTCCACATTTTTAGTTAGTGCCTTCACAGAAATACATTCCTCATCTAGCTGTGTAAAATGAACATGATTGAGTTCCATTTGGAAGGATATTTTCTATCTATAAGGGCTTTTATTCTCCAGGGAGTTTCTCTACTGGATATCCTCTCCACACTAGCCTTAAGATAATTTAGCATCCCCCAGAGACACCTGTGGGATATGTTCTAACACAAGCATTTTCAATGACACAACACAATATGACATGAGTATTTGATATTTCTTTTCTAAATGTCCAAATATTTAGACAAATATGTCCTAGGCTTTGGACATAAATCTTCAGTACTGGATAGAGGAGTTTATAATTAAGAGTAGTACTACCCTTTGGGAGGAGTTATGCATATATTCTGAGTGGGTATGATGTTATTCTTGAATAACTGATATCTTGGGGCCATCTGGCATTTTGTGGCTAGTCACTGCATCAATACCATATGGTGAAGTGTCGGGGCAGGAAACTGTCATTTATTTCATTTGCTTTGATGATAAAGACTCAGAAGTCAGTAACTGCTTGACAGTCTTAAAAGTGTCCTCAAGTTGGAGAGCAATGAAATAATGAAAGAGTTAGACAATAAAATAATGAAAAGGTTGAGCAAAGAATGAATGTGTGTGTGTGTGTGTGTGCGCGCGTGCATACAACACAGAGAGTTGCCTCAAGGATATGTGAAGACCTGATTTTGTCTCTGGAGCAAATAAATTATAGTTGGTGTTACAATTAGGGGTAAGAGTGAAATAATTCAAGCAGACAAATATTTTGAAAGGTAATAATTTCATTTTTCTGTTTCCACCTGATGTGGAAAAGTGAGGGTGACCTTATGAACTCTGTCTCTGAGTGTGTCCAGTATTAGTCTTGCAGTTAGGACTATTCACCTAGGACCTCACAACAGGAATCCCAGATGTCAGGGCTTTCATCAGAAGCACTGAAGCATTCCAGGGGATGTAGAATTTCCAAACTGCTTAGCCTAGAGTGCTTCTCAGTAGGTATCAGTTTGAATGTTTGTAGTAACATCTGTAATGATCAAAATCATTGCTATATTTGGACCAGAACTTTAAATACAGGTCTTACCATGTTATTTTATTTATTTTAAATTTCTTTTTCTTTTTATGTTTATATTATTTTAAATTGATAATAATTGTGTATATTTATGGGATACAATGTGATATTACATGCATACATAGTGGAATGATCACATCAGGATAATTAGCATATCAATCACAAGTGTTTATCATTTCCTTGTAATGAGAATCCTCTTTTCTAGCTTTGTGAACTCTACAATACCTTAATATTAAGTTATTAATATTAACTATAGTTACCATACTGTGCAATAGAACACCAGAACTGATTCCTCCTATATAACTGAAACATTGTACCCATTAACTCTCCATCCACACCATCCCTCCATCCCCTGTCTGTAAAACCACCATTCTACTCTCTGCTTCTATGAGTTCAACTATCTGAGATTCCACATGAGGGAGATCATATGGTATTTGCTTCCCTGTGACTGGCTTATTTCACGTAACATAATGTCCTTTAGGTTCATCCATGTTGTCACAAATAACATAATTTTATTTTTTTAAAAAAGGCATATACATATAAAGTGGGTTTGCTAGATGATATGGTAATTTTATTTTTAGGTTTTTTGAGGAACCTCCATATTGTTTTCCAAAACAGCTGTGCTAACTTACAATATCACCAACAGTGTATAAGGATGTTTCACATCCTCCTCAACATTTTGTGGGTACATAGTAGGCTTATGTATTTATGAGGTCCACAAGATGTTTTGATACAGGCATTCAATGTGAAATAAGCACATCATGGAGAATCGGGGTATTCATCCCCTCAAGTGTTTATACTTTGAGTTACAAACAATCCAATTACATTATTTAAATTAATTTAAAATATATAATTAAGTTATCATTGACTATAGTCTCCCTACTGTCCTGTCAAATAGTAGGTCTTATTCATTCTTTCTAAATTTTTTGTACCCATTAACCACCCCCACCTTTCCCCCCAATCCCTCACTACCATTTCTATCCTCTGGTAAACCATCCTTCTACTCTCTATGTCCATGAGTTCAATTGATTTTATTATTAGATCCCACAAATAAGTGAGAACATGTGATGTTTGTCTTTCTGGACCTGGCTAATTTCACTTAACATAATGATCTCCATTTCCATCCACATTGTTGCAAATGACTGGATCTCATTCTTTTTTATGGCTGAATAGTACTCCATTGTGTATATGTACCACATTTGCTTTATTCATCTGTTGATGGACACTCAGGTTGCTTCCAAATTTAGGTATTGTAAACAGTGCTGCAACAAATATAGAACTGCAGATATCTCTTTGGTGTACTGATTTTCTTTCTTTTAGGTATATACCCAGCAGTGGGATTGTTGGAGTACATAGTAGCTCAATTTTTAGTTTTTTGTGAAACCTCCAAACAGTTCTCCATAGTGACTGTACTAATTTACATTTCCACTAACAGTGTGCAAGGATTCCCTTTTCTCCACATCTTAGCCAGCATTTGTTATTGCCTGTCTTTTGGATATAAGCCATTTGAATTGGGGTGAGATAATCTCTCATTGTAGTTTTTATTTGCATTTCTCTGGTGATCGGTGATGTTGAGCACCTTTTCATGTGCATGTTTGCCATTTGTATGTCTTCTTTTGAGAAATATCTATTTAAATATTTTGCCTATTTTAAAAATCAGATTATTAGATTTCTTTTCTGCAGAGTTGTTTGAGCTCCTTATATATTCTAGTGATTAATCCCTTGTCAGAGGAATAGCTTCCAAATATTTTCTCCCATTCTTTGGGTTGTCTCTTCACTCTGTTGATTGTATCCTTGCTTTACAGCAGCTTTTTAACTTGATATGATCCCATTTGTCCATGTTTCCTTTGGTTGCTGGTATTATGGGGTATTGCTCATGAAATGTTTGCCCCGGCCAATGTCCTGGAGAGATTCTCAATGTTTCCTTTTATTAGTTTCGTAGTTTGAGGTCTTACATTTAAGACTTTAATGCATTTTAATTTGATTACAAAGTGCCGATCCCAAACTGGAGTGCCTGCAAACCTCCCACCAAGGGCCAAAGTGCTCTCAGTCCATAAGCAAACTTGAAAAGGAGTCTAGACCTTAAGGACTGCGACTCATAGGCAAGTCCTAGGGCTAAACTGTGGCCAGAGACGGTGGATCATGGGGGGCATGTGACATACTGAGACACCAGCTGGGGCAACCAAAGGAGTGCTGGCATTACTCTTCCTCTAGCCCAGAGGTGGCACAACTCACAGCTCCAAAAGACACCCCTTCCTTCTGCTTGAGGAGAGGAGAGGAGAGGAGAGGGAAGAGTGAAGAAGACTTTGTCTTTCATCTTGGATACCAGCTCAGTTACAGCAGGATAGGGCATAGTCAGAGTCAAGAAGCCCCTGTTCCAGGCCCTAGCTCCCAGAAGACATTTCTAGACACACCTTGGGCCAGAAGGGAAGCTGCTGCCTTGAAAGGAAGGACCCAGTCCTGGCAGCATGTATCTCCTGCTAACTGGAGAGCCTTTGGGCTCTGAATAATCAGCAGTGATACCCAGATTCTAAATCAAGGGACTTGGTGAATGTCTGAGACTTGCTGGCTTCAGGTACTTATACCACCACAGCAGGGTAGAGCACCAAGCAGGTTCTTGGGGTCCCCGATTCCAGGACTGGACTCTTAAATGGCATTTCTGGACCTGCCTTGAGCCAGAGGGGAGCCTACTGCCCTGAAGTGTGACTCTCAGGCCATGCAGCATTTGCTGCAAGCTGATTTAAGAGACCTTGGACCTTAAGGGAACATCAGTGGTAGTCTGGCAGTACTCCTTGTGGTCAGCAGTGATGGTAATGGTTGCTACAGAGTGAGGCTCCTCTGCCTTTCCAAAGGGGAGGGAAAAGTGGGAAGGACCGCATCTTGTGGTTTGAGTGTCCACTCAGTCACAATAGAATATCAGGTAGACTTCTACCTGTAGACTTCTGTGTTTTTTGACTCTAGTCTTTGACTCCTAGACTGCACTTCTGGACCCATCCAGGGCCTGGAAGACCTTGCTGCCCTGAAAGGAAGAGTGTTATGACATGTTTAAAGTGCTTAAGGAAAATAACTTTTACCCTATGTTAGTATATCTAGTAAAAATATCCTTCAAACATGAAAGAGAAATAAAGACTTTCCCAGACAAACAAAAACTGAGGGGTTTCATTAATACCAGACTCATCCGACAAGAAATGCTAAAAAGAGTACTTCAATGAGAACAAAAGGACATTAATGAGCAACAAGTAATCACCTTAAGGTACAAAACTTACTGGTAATAGTAAGTACTCAGAAAACCCCAGGCTATTATAACACTGTAACTGTGGTGTATAAACTACTCTTATCCTAAGTAGAAAGACTGAACAATGAAGTTTAAAGTAGTTTTTTTCCTATTCTGTGAAGAAAGTCAATGGTAGCTTGATGGGGATAGCATTGAATCTATAAATTACTTTGGGCAGTATGGCCATTTTCACGATATTGTTTCTTCCTATCCATGAGCATGAAATATTTTTCCATTTGTTTGTGTCCTCTCTTATTTCCTTGAGCAGTGGTTTGTAGTTCTCCTTAAAGACGTACTTCACATTGCTTCTAAGTTGTATTCCTAGGTGTTTTATTCTATTTGTAGCAGTTGTGAATGGGAGTTCACTCATGATTTGGCTCTCTGTCTGTCTGTTATTGGTGTATAGAAATGCTTGTGATTTTTGCACATTGATTTTTTATCCTGAGACTTTGCTGAAGTTGCTTATCAGCTTAAGGAGATTTTGGGCTGAGACGATGGGGTTTTCTAAATATACAATCATGTCATCTGCAAACAGAGACAATTTGACTCCCTCTTTTCCTATTTGAATACCCTTTATTTTGTTCTCTTGCCTGATTGCCCTGGCCAGAACTTCCAATACTATGTGGAATAGGAGTAGTGAGAGAGGGCAACCTTGTCTTGTGCAGGTTTTCAAAGGGAATGCTTCCAGTTTTTGCCCATTCAGTATGATATTGGCTGTGGGTTTGTCATAAATAGTTCTTATTATTTTGAGATACATTCCATGAATACTTCGTTTATTGAGAGTTTTTAGCATGAAGGAGTATTGAATTTTATTGAAGGCCTTTTCTGCATCTATTGAGATAATCATGTGGTTTTTGTCATTAGTTCTGTTTATGTGATGAATTATGTTTATTGATTTGCATATGTTGAACCAACCTAAAAAGGATGAGTTCATGTTTTCAAGGACATGGATGAAGCTGGAAACCATCATTCTCAGCAAAACTAACACAAGAACAGAAAACCAAACACCACATGTTCTGACTCATAAGTGGGAGTTGTACAATGAGAACACATGGAAACAGGGAGGGGAACATCACACACCGGGGCCTGTCGGTGGGAGGTTGGGTAGGGGAAGGATAATATTAGGAGATATACCTAATGTAGATGATGGGTTGATGGGTGCAGCAAACTGCCATGGCAAGTGTATACCTATGTAACAAACACGCACATCCTGCACGTGTACCCCAGAACTTAAAGTATAATTTAAAAAGAGACTAAACAATGAACTAATCAAAAATAAAAACTACAAAATCTTTTCAAGAAATAGTCAGCACCATAAGATATAAATGGAAACAACAAAAAGTTAAGCAGTGGGACAAAGTTAAGTTGAGCTTTTATTAGTTTTCTTTTTGCTTGTTTGTTTATTTATGCAAACAGTGTGAACTTGTTAGCAGGTTAAAATAATGGGTTTAAGATAGTATTTACAAGCCTCATGAAAACCTCAACCAGAAAAACATACAATGGCTTCACAAAACATAAAAAACAAGAAACTAAATCATATCCTCAGAGAAAATTATCTTCACTAGAGGAAGACAAGAATGAGAGAGAGAAGGAAGAGAGGACCACAAAACAACCAGAAAATAACAAAATGGCAGGAGTAAGTCTTTACTTATCAATAATACATTGAATGTAAATGGACTAA